CTCATGTTCTCTCTTTATATTTTTCTCGATAACAGATTATGTATAAATAAAAATAAAGGGAAGTAAATATTAATTTGCGATATACTAGAAAGCCAAGTTACTGAGAATCAGTAACGCACTCAATTTGGGACACGGCTTACTAGAACATGAATACTGCAAAAAAAAAAAAAACACTCTTGTTAACTTTGTTGGGCTTGGGGTATATCCCAATAACAGTTAGTGGGATAAATCCAAATCCAACAAACTTATTATTATTATTGTTGCCTTTTCTTAAAAAAAAAAAAAGAATATTGCAAGGTAATGCGACGGCCAAGAACGCAGTCCGAGCTGAGCTGCCACAAGCCGAGCTGGATGAGCGTAGCCGAACCGAGAGAGGAGAACCGAACTGACTATCCTGTAGAGAGAGAACAACGGCAGGACTAGGGTCCCCGGAATAGTTCCGACGGTCAAGTCAGCAGAGCCTATGAGTAGGGCAATAGTATATAGTACTGTAGATCGTGTACCTTGTGTCGCCTTATGGCGCCATATTTATAGGCTTCCGGGTAATAGTTTCCATATAGGAGTAGGAGTCCCCTTAGGGTTCGGAGTCTTCCTATGATTTTGTATGACGACCCCTACAAATTCGGAGGCGGTGGCCCACGAGACCCATTCCATGGAGAGGCGTCTGTTACGGCCGAGCTGGCCCCTTCTACGCCGAACTGAGGTGTACGAGTTGTGGGATCCATATGGCCGACCTCGTGTGTGCGGCATGCCGAGTTGACATGTGTCATGCGTGGATTTGCCCCATTACACTAGCCCCCCTTTGAGTCTAGAGTCACCGAGAGGTCGCGTGAGTCTGGACCAAATTACGAGGCGTCAGGTCGGCGTGGTGTGGGGCCCACGATCCCATGATCGTGCCCCTTGTTCGGGTAACCGCCATGTCTACTGTCGCAACTCTCACTTCAACGGTCACGTTCTCTCACAACGGTGGTTGTCAGCTCAAACGTCTCCCAAGGTAGCAATTCCTTTGCAATAAATTCGAAATTTCAATTCGGGACTCTTTGTCTTCCCGCCCAGGTGGCCTATAAATAGACCTCACCAAACGTCATTTTCAAGCTTCCTATCTCACTTTTCCTCCTTCCAAATCTTCATCAACTCGCTCCACGCTTAGTGAGTCCATCCGAGAATAGCGTCTCCTTTTAAGCACCTACCAGCTCTTCCCTCTTATCCGCTAGTAAGTCTTCTTTTCTTTTTATGTCTTTTTCTACTACACATTCAGACCTTACTAGCTCAGCACCTAGACGTAGAGTAGTCCGACCTGCTCCTATAGAGATACTCTCTTCTTCTTCTAGCTCTTCTTCTTCCAGTTCGTCTGGGTCTGAATATCTTCCTTCCCCAGCACCCTCTCCAGCCATAGACATGGACCAGCCCGGTCAACCTGCCCAACCTGAAGCTGAAGCTGCTGCCCCAGAGATTCCTCTGGAGGCAGTTCCAGCTCGTACCAGGGCGGGACGCCCCAGGGGGCCGGATATCGACTTCGGGAAGGTCGAGATTATCCCCCCTCTTGGACTAGGGGATGCAGACGAACAAGTAGGGAGGTATGACATTCCCCCTCAGTTCGAGACTAGGGCTGCCTGGCCAGGGGAGTACGCTTGTCGACCTCCTTCTGAGTTCGTGGCCATCTACAAAGATCAGCTCGTGGTTGGTTTCCGCCTTCCTATCCTTCAGTTTCTTTACCAGATCCTAACCTTTTGGGGGATTCGGATCATCCAGTTCGTCCCCAATGCTATTCGGTCCATCATTGGCTTTTTTATTTTGTGCCGCGTTCTTGAAATCCCTTACTCTTTGGACCTGTTTAGGTCATTTTTTCAAATGAAAATGAGTGGCCCGGTTCACGGTTGGTTCTACTTCGCTCGCAGGAGCGGAAGGGAGCTCCCCACCCGCGAGCTGTTCACATAGATGCCCTCCTCAATCAAGGGCTGGAAAGCCCAGTTTTTTTTTGTGAAGAATACAGGGTTTCCTCCCCTGACCTGGAGGGAGGAGACCCAGGTATCTGATCCCATTCCCTCACCTCTGCCAGCGGCCGAGTTGGACCGTCTGGTCAGCTCAGAAGCTCGGCTAAAGGTGAAGGTATTTAATAATGCCCAACTCTGGTCGGCGGGGTTGATTCGAGTAGAGGTGAACAACCCTGCCCCCGATCTCCGACCCCTCACCCTCGAGGAGCTGACAGCTTGTAACTTCTTGACCTCATCCCTTCTCTTTTTTTTTTTTTTTTTTGTTTTTAAGTTTGGTCACATCGTCCGACTGACCCATCCTTTCTCTTTTGTAGTGAAGAGGTTTTCTCAATTGTTGAACATTGGGGGAACTGGCAGCACGAGCACGCCTGCTCCTGCACCTTCCACCGCTCTTAGCAGCGCAGCTCCTCCCCCTCCACCAGTGTCTACTCCTCAGATTGCAGCTCAGTCATCGCCTGGGGAGGAGCCTAAGAAAAAGAGGAAGAAGACCGTGGCCGAGAAGGCGCGAACTGAGGAGACTTCTCCTCCGCCCCTGAAAGGGCCCTCAGCAGCCTCCGCAACCCATTACGGGGTGAACACTGCCGAGCAGCAGGCCTCGTCCGAGTCGTCACCAGCTATGTGGCGGAGGAGGAATGTGATACCTCTGAAGCCTCCTTCCGGGCTGCGCACTCACCCGCATCCCCTGCATTTCTGCCCCAAATGGGGGTTATCGGTGAACGACCGAACTCAGTTCCCAGAGACTGCCCGGGAGCTTATCAGGGGTACGGTGCTCTCACGTGATCACCACTTCATCCAACTCGCGTCCAATTCTGAGCTACTGGAGCACTATTACCTGAGTGTAGCTCAGGTAACTCCTCAACTGGTGGTGCCTCAGTGAAATTCCTTTGACTTGTCAGTCTCTTATTCTGTGTTCGTCTTGTAGCTCAATGTGACTGGTGCCGAGTTGGCACAAAGGTACGAGAACATGGGAGAGAATCTCTTCCAGGCTGATGCGGCCAAGAACATGCTGTCCAGTCAGTTGGAGGCAGCGGAGGCAGAGCTAGAGTCCGTGAAAAAGCAGCTTGCCGAGTCTCAGGCCTCCTGTGAGCTGGAAAAAAAGAAGTCGGTCGAGCTGACCACACAGCTGGAGGTGGAGCAGAAGAAATCCGCCGAGCTGCTTGGTCAGATTGAAGCAGCTCGTGAGGAGGGCCGCTAGCTGGGCGTCAGGGACTTCAAGAAGTCTGAGGACTTTATGAAGGACCTGGCCATTTTTAACGGGCCCATCCTGCAGGTGGGGTACGCCCAAGCCATGCATGACGTGCAATCTCTGAACTTGCTTGGGTTCGACCTGAGCAGGTGGCCCAACTATAATCCCCAGGCAGTTCACCAGATTGACAGGCTCGTGGACGGCTACACGCATGGGTGCGACCTGGCCGCGCTGGTGGCGGATCCTTCCCTGCCTGCAACCTCCGCCGAGCAGGAGCTGCAAGGAGAAAATTAGGCAATGCTCAGCATAGGTGTAGGTAGGACGTAGAGTAGGGTCCGAGCTAGCCAACTCTTTTTGTATGGCCCCCCTTATGTATATTTCTTTTGGAAAGGAAATAGATGGCCTGTTCATTCAACACTTGGCAAAGAATTTTTTATTTTTTCATAGAATCTTGAATACATTCTTGTGACCCCAAGTACCGATCTAACAGCTTACCGAGCTAACTACCCATCGAGCTGACCTCTGCAGCTATGGCCACGTAAATCTTCCTAACTTCCTTCCTCCGCTTGGGCTAAGGTCTAGCGAAAAAGCCTTAAATTCGAATTGTGCCAGGTGCGCGGGACCTTATCCCTATTGAGATGAGCTAGCTTACAGTACCCCGCCCGATCAGCTTCTTTCACCACGTAGGGACCTTTCCAATTCGGGTCTAACTTGCTCGTGCCCCTAGCTCAGCTCACAGAGTTTCTGCGCAAAATCAAGTCCCCTGATTTGAAAGAGAGGTGCCTTACTCTGGCGTTGTAGTATCGTGCGACCTGACCTTTATACTTAGCCATTCTTATGTTTGCTTCTTCCCTTCGATGCTCGAGCAGATCTAGGTTGAGTCGCATCTCCTCCTCGTTATCCCTAGCCACGAAGTGTTGCACCCTACTTGAGAGTACTCCAATTTCTGCTGGAATCACTGCTTCGACCCTATATGTCAGGACGAACGGGGTTTCCCGGGTGGCCGTCCGAGGTATTGTCCGGTAGGCCCACAATATGGTAGGCAACTCCTCCAGCCAGCCAGTTCTGGCAGACTCTATTTGTGTCTTCAGGCCGTGCAAGATGGTCCTGTTAGCATTCTCGACCTGTCCATTAGCTTGTGGGTGCCCTACGGAAGTGAAACGCTGCTGGATGCCGAGCTCGGTGCACCACTCCTGGAGGGATCTATCTGCAAATTGCCATCCATTATCTGAGATCAGAATCCGGGGTATGCCAAATCGGCAGACTATGCCCTTCTGAAGAAACTTCTGGATCGACCTATTATTGATCGTGCTGAGTGGCTCGACCTCTATCCATTCAGTAAAGTAGTCAATGGCCACTACCAGATGCTCATAACCTCCCGGAGCTCGGGGAAATGGGCCTAGTGGGTCAATTCCCCATTGAAAGAACGGTCACGAGCTATGGAGAGGAACCATCTCCTGAGTTGGGACATGGTGAATTGGAGCGTGCAACTGACAAGACTTGCATCTGGCTACCGGCTCGGCGGAGTCCCTGAAGATGGTGGGCCAATAGTATCCAGATAACATTCCCTTCTTGGCCAGTACCCTTGGCCTGACGTGATTGCCACAGATCCCCTCATATAGTTCGCGCAAGACATAGCTCCTTTCCTCAAGCGTCACACACTTTAACCATGGCTGCAAGTAAGATTTCCTATATAGTACTCCATGCGTGAGTACGTACTTTTGTGATTTGAGGAGGACTTTGCGGGCCTCCGCCCTGCTCGGGGGAAGCTCCCCATGAGTCAGGTATTGGACAATGGGATCCATCCAAGAGCTTATCACCTAAATGACTGTGGTGTTTAACTGTTCATACGCCCGACTTTTGACGACCTCCACCAATATTTTTTGATTTAAAGTGCTAAACAAGGTAGATGCCAGTTTGGACAGGGCATCAGCTCTCTTGTTTTGGCTCCGTGGGATCTGCTCGAGCGTGAACTGCTTGAACTGGTCCATCAGCTCATGCATCTTGGCGATGTACTTCCTTAGTGGCCCCTCTTTGACCTCGTAGCTCCCCAGTACCTGGTTCACTATCAACTGCGAATCGCTGTAGATTTTTATTGACTCAGCCCCTAATTTTCGAGCCATCTCCATCCCTGCAATTAGAGTCTCGTATTCGATTTCATTATTAGAGACTCTAAAATCGAACCTCAAGGCGTAGGCCAGCTCTTCCTCAGTGGGGTTGATTAGGAGGAGTCCTGCCCCACATCCTTCCCTGCTCGACGCGCCGTTTACGTATAGCGTCCAGATAGGTTCTGTTCGTCCTGCAGCCTCTGTAGCCTTCCTGGTCTGAGCAGCCTCTTTGGCCAGTTCGGCCTGGACTGCTCTTCCAGATTGCGTGACCTCGGCAGCCTCTCCGGCCCGTCTGACCTTAACTGCCTCTCTGGCCTATCCGACCTTGGCAGTTTCTTGGGTCTGCTCGGTCTCCGCTGCTTCTTTGGCCTGTCCGACCTCGTCAGCTTCTCTGGTCCGTGTGGCCTCAGCTGCGTCTCCGGCCTGTCCGACCTCGGCAGCTTCTCTGGCCTGTTCGGCCTTAGCTGCGTCTTCGGCCTGTCCGACCTCTGCTACCTGATTGGTTTGGGCGACCTCGGCAGTATCTCCAGTCCGCAGGACCTCAACTGCCTCTTGGGCCTGTGTGGCCTTGGTAGTTTCTTGGGCCTGTAGGGCCTTGGCTGCTAGTCTAGTGTGTGCGTCCTTAGCAATTTCTTTGACCTTTCCAGCCTTTCCTACTTCTTTGGCCTGGTCGACCTCCATTTCGGACGATCCAAAGGAGACGCCTTCTGCCATGAAGTCTGCCAGGGTTTAGACTTTGATGGCCGTCCTCGGCTGGTAACCGAGGTCGTACTCTAACAGTTTCACAGCCCATTTCACCATCCGACCCAAGATATCGGACTTGGAGAGGATCTGCTTCAGGGGCTGGTCCGTCACCACTACTATGGGGTGAGGTTGAAAGTACAACCAGAGCTTCCGAGCGGCATGTACTAATATCAAGACATAGCGTTCTATTGCCGAGTACCTTGCTTCGGCCTCCTGTAGGGCGCGACTAACATAGTATACGGGTTTCTGGACCTTGTCTTCCTCTCGCACCAACACAGCGCTAACAGCTTCCTCCCCCACAGCTAGATAGATGAACAGGGTTTCCCCCTACTCGGGAGAGGTTAGGGCCAGCAACCGAGCAAGGTGAGCTTTCAGCTCGTCAAATGCCTTCTGGCACTTCGAGCTCCACTCAAATTGAGGACCTCTTCTCAAGACTCTGAAGAAAGAAGAGCCCCGAACTGCTGACTTGGACAAGAACCGGTTCAGAGATGCCATCCTCCCAGTCAGGCGTTGCACCTCCTTAATATTTCGAGGTGGAGCCATGTCCATGATAGCATTGATTTTGTCTGGGTTAGCTCTTACCCCTTCTTTGAAAATCATATAGCCCAGGAATTTTTCCGACCTGACTCTAAATGTGCATTTCTTGGGGTTCAGCCGCATCTGTGAGCTCCGAAGGACATCAAAAATTTTCCTGAGGTCAGCAATGAACTGCTCCTGAGTCCGACTTTTCACCAACATGTCATCCACGTAGACCTCTATATTTCGACTGATCTGGTCCTTAAACAACTTATTGACCAGCCTCTGGTAGGTCGCGCTCGCATTTTTCAGCCCCGAACGGTATGGTGGCGTAACAGTAAGTGCCGTTCTCAATGATAAACGAGATCTTCTCCTGATTCTCCTTGTCCAGGGCTATCTGATGGTATCCTTTGAAGGCGTCCAAGAAACAGAAAATCTCATACCTAAATGTTGAGTCCACGAGCTAGTCAATCCGCGGTAGTGGGTAGCAGTCATTTGGGTAAGTCTTATTTAAATCGGTGAAGTCCACACACATCCTCCAAGTCCTTACTTCCTTTTTGACCAGGACTGGGTTAGCCAGCCAGATCGGATAATAGATTTCTTTCACGATCTTGGCTTCCAACAGATTACCTACCTCACTCTTGACGACCTCGTTTCGCTCCGGCGTAAAATTCCTTTTTTTCTGCTTCACAGGTCGGGCATGAGGGTCCACGTGCAACTTGTGAACAACTAGCTCGGCGGAGATCCCGGGCATGTCCTCAGCGCTCCAAGCGAAGATCTCCGCATATTCTTCTAAAAGGGTTTCCAATTCATTTCGGGTCAGCTCACTTAGACAGGTGCCGACTTTGACAGTGCGCTCAGGTCACTCCGGGCAGATCGACAGCTCGGCCAGTCCCTCGTCCGTCTCCAGTCTCTCTCCTTTCTCCACAGGCTCCCAGGGTTCCAAACAAGCTGTCTGAGCAACTAACTTTTCTTTGCCCTTAAGAGTTGCAATGTAACAGGTCCTGGCCACCTCTGGATCTCCGAGCACCTTAGCTACCCCAGCAGGAGTAGGAAATTTCATACTGAGGTGCAAGGTGGAGCAGACAGCCCGAAGGGCGTTCAGGGTGGGCCGCCCTATAATCATATTGTACGATGAAGGCTCTTTTATCACCGCGAAATTTACCGGAACAGTTCGGCACTTCGGAGACACCCCCACCGTAACCATGAGAGTTATCATTCCCTCCGGCCTCACCGGAGAATGTGCAAAACCGATCAATGGAGTTCGAATTGGGACGAGCTGTCTATCCTCTAGCTGTAGCTCCTTAAAGGTCTTATAATACAGTACGTCTATGGCACTACCATTGTCTATGTATACCTTTTTTACCTTGTAGTTGCAGGTAATGACCTTTATCACGATGGCTTCGTGATTATTAGAGGCCAAAGGGACCGCATTCTCAGGTCCGTAAATGATTTCCTCGTACATCTTCAATCGTTTGCTCGAACTCTCTCCGCTGGGAGGAGGGTGGTTATGTCGCCGAGCTGTATGGCTGTCCCCTCCAACTGGTCCTCTTGCAATAGTGTTAATCACCCAGGCAAGATTCTGAGCTTCCTGCTCGGGAGTTCGGCCACGGGGCCCCTGAGGTCAGTCTCGAGAGTAGCTCAGGTGCTCCGGTCGGGGCCTTTCCCGTCGCTGGTCAGTTCGTTCATCACGTATGAATTGCCCGAGGTGGCCTCGTCTAATCAACTTTTCGATATCTTTCTTGAGGTGATGACAGTCCTCCGTATCGTGTTCCACATCTCGGTGATACGCACAGTACAGACCCTGGTCCCGTCTGCTCATGTCTCCGGCCAAGAGCCGGGGAGGTCGGGAGAGCCCTTCCTGTTCCATCACTGCCAGGACCCGAGATCGAGGTGCGGTGAGGGTAGTCCATGACTTGTCTCCTCCCAGGGGCCGAGTCCTGGGCAGGCGGTCGTAGGCATTCTTCCGCCTCTGGCCAGGCCGCACGTCTATCTGATCAGTGCTTCTCCTGCGCTTATCGTTCCTTAGTCTCTCCTGCATGCTCTTTAGGCGATTGGCCTCCTCAACGTTGGCCTTCTCGTGAGCTCGGTCCTGTATCTCTCGTACTGACTTGAGAGGTCTTTCCACGAGTTCGGTGTAGAGTTTCTGTTTACGCAGCCTGTTAATAAAGGCGGCCATGACTACCTTGTCATCCCGGTCGCGGACCTGGAGGGACTCATTATTGAAGCGCACCATAAACTCGCGTAAGGACTCCTCAGGCTTCTGATGGATGGTCATCAAGTGGGCAGTGCTTTTGGAGAAGACCCGCGACGAAACGAACTGTGCTGAGAACAGTCGTGTGAGCTGGGCAAAGGATCGAATAGACCTGGGGGGAAGGCCCTGGAACCATTGACGCGCCTTTCCGTCCAGAAACATTGGAAAGGTCTTGCATCTGACCGCATCCGCAGCCATTTGCAGGCGCATTTGCCTCATGAAAGCGAACAGGTGATCCTCCGGATCCGTGGTCGCATCGTAAGATTTCATGCTCGGTATTTTGAACTTCGCGGGCAGCGGGAAGTTCTCGATATCGGGCACGAAGGGGGAAGCGATGTACTTGTTCGCCTCAGGGTCTAAAAGCAGGTCCAACTCGTCCTATACCTGGAGCTGCTCTTTCCGCGGGGAGAGCTCCTCCTGGGAATACCTCCGGAAGGGCTCTGGGTGCTCAGTTCGGGAGTGTTTGTGAGAAGGCTCCACAACGTCGACCTGTTCACGCGTGAGCTCCTGGCCCACCCGCTTGGCCCGGGGGTTAGGGCTCTCAGTTCAAGATTCGAACAGCCCATCTCCTTGGCTCTTTGGCCCCTGGCCGGGATGACCTTCTGTCTGCCCTTTGAGGTAATTCATGATCGCCTCGAAGGTTGGTAGGTTTTCGGCCACCGTCTAGACTAATTGTTCAGGCGGGATCCGTGAGTGCCCCGCCTCCTCTTCTCCAGGGGTCGGACCCTGAATGAGGTTTTGGGGGCTGCTCCTCTCGTTCCCCTTGGATCCATCAGCGTTCCTCTGAGACCTCGTCCTTGGCATGATTCGCAAAAGAAGAATTATGTGTTCCCACAGATGGCGTCAATTGATACGACGGCCAAGAACGTAGTTCGAGCTGAGCTGCCACGAGCCGAGCTGGATGAGCGTAGCCGAACCGAGAGGGGAGAACCGAACTGACTATCCTGTAGAGAGAGAACAACGGCGGGACTAGGGTCCCCAGAATAGCTCCGATGATCAAGTCAGCAGAGCCTATGAGTAGGGCAATAGTATAGAGTACTGTAGATCGTGTACCTTATGTCGCCTTATGGCGCCATATTTATAGGCTTCCGGGTAGTAGTTTCCATATAGGAGTAGGAGTCCCCTTAGGGTTCGGAGTCTTCCTAGGATTTTGTATGACGACCCCTACAAGTTCAGAGGCGGTGGCCCACGAGGCCCATTCCATGGAGAGGCGTCTGTTACGGCCGAGCTGGCCCCTTTTACGCCGAATTGAGGTGTACGAGCTGTGGGATTTATATGGCCGACCTCGTGTGTGCGGCATGCCGAACTGACATGTGTCATGCGTGGATTTGCCCCATTACACAAGGATTGATTTTGCTATAAAAATAAAACAAAAAAAAGAATATCGAAGACATTTGACTCAATCTTTTATCTTTGTTATTTTTAGACATGAACAATCCAGGGCCCCAATATGACCACACGAGTATCCACTAACCAGTTCAGGTAACAAAAAATCTGTATTATTGGGCATTGGCCTGCTCTAATCTATCGGTAGAAGCGTGCTAGTTTTAGATGTCACGGCCCAGCAATGAGGAGGCTAACACGCTACCCACCATTGCATCTTAGGACTTAAAGACATAAAAGTTAAACAGATGCTCAGATTAACCAACCTAGATAGCAATTCAACAGTATAAACTGTCTGGTTCACTTATCAAAGGACTAGCATCAAATGACAAACTAAAGTTAAGTTGCTTAGAACTAGGGCTACAAACGAGCCGAGTTGAGTCGAGTTTTGGTCTAATCGAGTTAAGTCTTGACTTAGTTTTATTAAACTCGAACTTGAGTTCGAGCTCGACGAGTTGACAATTTAAAGCTCGAACTCGAAAAAATTAAAAATAATTATTTTTTTAAAAAATAAATAAAATAATATTTTTTCTTAATAAATAATAAAATATTAAGGATATATATGTAATTTTATTAATATATATATACACACACATACACACACTTGAGCTCGTGAGCCGGCTTGCAAGTAACGAGCTTAATATTGTTCGAACTCGAATTTGACTCGAGCTCGAGCTTGATATTGATTGAACTCGAATCGAGCTTGACTCGAGTCGCTCGTGAGCGGTTCGATTCGTTTACAGTTCTACTTAGAACAGGCACTAAACAAAGCTTAATTTTTGTATTTGTCCAAGAAACAGAGCACTCCAAAGTAAAGTGTAGACTGGCCTGTCAAAGCATTCTAGTAAAACAGTATGAACCAGGCAACACATACTCTATAATCTAGTCTAGTAACAGGATAATGAGTTTCAACACTCAGTCTGTAACAGAAATGACCATTGCGTACTTGGTACTATATGTCTTAATTCTGACCATGGCGTACTTGTAATGACCATTCCCTTTAGCATCACAGCCTAGCTGTGAAGGCATGTAGTGGGATGTTATGGCTCAACTCCATTCACTCAAGATTGAGGAGAAAATCCACACAAGCCCTACTTAATTACCTAAATTTGGCTTGGACTCATGATTAGCAATCTCGGCCTTGTTTGATACGACTCAGCTGAGTCACAGAATGGAGGGGACCGTTATGATACCGATCTCTGAATCATGGATAATTTTACATCCCCGACGACTCGCTCTGATTCGACCAATATTTGTCGATTTGAATCCGTGATGCATGGAATCGGTTAAAATATTTGAGTCCACTCAAAGTCAATTTAGATATTTTTTCAGATTGTGCCTTTTATGATATTTTCTATTTTTAATAATTTTTCAAAACTTTTGAAAATTTTTATATGCTATAATATGTGTATCACTTGATATCCAATTGATATGCCGTGATGAATGTGGAACAACACTATCGTGATGTGATCGCGACCCACCATGGTGAACCATGCTTGGACTAGTATTTTGCAAGTAATTATTTATTTCCAAAAATGTCAAATATCATAAATCTAGTAGTTTGCAAAAGTTGGATCAATTTCACTATCTCAATAATGACCGACTCTCCTCCAAGGAAAAAATCATTAAGACCAATGCACAGAAGCCCAGAAAAACAAGAAAGAAACAGGAACTGAAAAGATAGGAACCAAAACTCAATAACAGCATGCATCCACAAATGGTGGTCGAATAATATCCATAGCACCACTTCTTTTTAACATCAAATCCTCAGTAAAAATATCAATAGAAGTCAGGCATCATTAGCTTTAATACCAATTAAGTTAGGCATCATTATCTTATTATATAGCAAACAAGAGAACTCCATCATCATCGTTCGGTCTCGCAGGAAACAAATAATTTTGAGACGGGAAACGGCGATGAAATGTACTGCATGGGGTGGCTTGTAGTGTTTATACTTTATACACATGCTGATTGTTTAGTTTATTAATGCATGCTATCATCAGCACCGTCCACCACAGCATACCGTCTGAGGATGCTCACCTCGTCCCTCATCAGAGCTCATCCGTGTCCCGGGCATCATCCCTGAGCTCGGCCTCGGCCATTTCCCTAGCCTACTGTGTAGCCGACCTCGGCACCCCCACCTCAGCTGCACGCTGATGATGTCAAACCATCTGACATCGCCCAGGACCAGTGCTTTATCTGAAAAGCACTGGAGGCACTTAATGGCACCTGCACAATCCTCCCCGTCATCATGCCCAGGCAGCTACAGTGTCAGAGTCAGACCTCCTGACACGGGACAGAGCCGTAATGACCAGAGGGTGGGTCCCACCAGCATAAGCCCTCCGCTCTGTCCTCTACTCTCTCTCTATAAATACCCCAGACACACTCCCAACAAGTAAGCACACTGTTCATTTGCTTATACTCCTATTATTCTCGTTCTCATACTAACTTGATCGTCGGAGTGATCCCAGGGAAGAAGCCCCGCCACTCACTTCGGACACCGAGGTTCACTTCGGACACAGGAGTTCACCTCACTTCATCTCAGAGAGAACTGATCCAGGTCGGTCTAGGTACCAACCGAAAATCACCTTTTCAATTGGTGCCGTCTGTGGGAACGAGACTACTATTACTAAAATGAGATTCACGCGCTCCAGAAGTGGTCGAGTTCCCTCAACTGGGGCTGGCAGACCTCGGGAGCCCAGCAAGATCGCATTTCTGAAGAGCAAGGGTCCCCGAGGACCCAGCCTAACAACGAGGAGGCCATCGCCAAGATGGCCGAGTTCGTATCACACAACCCTACCATTTTTGAGGAGCTAGGAAGGTACCTCAAAAGACAGGGGAAAGAAAAGGCCGAGTCCACCAAGAGGAGGCCGACGAAGTCCCCTGAGGTACCTTCAGGTGAAGACTCAGATGAGGGGCGACTCTCTCGGAGTACCTCCAGGCGCGCCTCCTCCAAGGCGACGTCTAAACTTGCCTCCATCTCCCGGGCGTTTTCTCGGGGACTGCTGGGGAAACGAGTAGAGAACCCACCTCGGCGCCCCGGGGGCCTAGCTTCTGACTACATGAGGGCTCCGCCCTTTACTGATGACATCAATGGGCAGATGGTACCCCCGAACTTCAAGCTTCCAAACTTGCCCACCTATGACGGCCGAGGTGACCCCGAGGATCACCTCCGCGCCTTCATCTCTGCCTTCCGACTCTACTGCGTCCCCGACGCCGTGATATGCCGGGCTTTCCCCATTTTCCTACATGGGACTGCCCGCAAGTGGTTCTGGAGTTTAGAGCCGGGGAGCATTTCCTCCCTGGATGAACTGATAGACCGGTTCATCCACCGCTTCGTGTCGTCCCGACCGATAACCAAGACTTCAGCTTACCTCTTGAACCTGCAACAGGGTCAGGGCGAGTCCCTTCGCTCGTATACTCAAGGTTCAACGAGGAGAATGTGCAGATACCTGACCAGAACGAGCAGGTAACTATCGCGGCCTTTACCAACGGATTGGTGGCGGGAATCTTCAACACTGAAATCCATCGGGAGTACCCCCGTACACTTCGGGAACTCTGGGACAGAGTGGACCAGGGAATCCGAAGTGAGGATGTAAACCGCATGAAGCGAGAGGCCCAAGCCTCTCGTACGGGGCAAGATCCCCGGAGGAGGAGAGACACCAGCCGAGGTGAACCCGGCCCAAGTGGCACTTCAAACCAACTCCGAGACCGCCGGAGTGTCTTTGATCGAATAGTGAAAGGGAGATCGTCCACCTCGGACGCCGAGTTGACCCCGCTCAATTCTAGTCGGTCTCACGTCTTGGCTGTAATGAGGCAGAACCACCTCGGCCGAACACCTCCTGAGATCCATGGGAGGAGAGATAAGAGGAACTCCAACCTCTACTGCGCCTACCACCGAGACGTTGGGCACGAGACTGAAGATTGCAACGATCTGAAGCGAGAGATCGAAAACCTAATCCGACAAGGATACCTGAAGCAGTTCATCCGCAAAGACGGAAGCTTCGGCCGAAGTGCCTCCCACCGGGAGAGCCGAGGTCCTCGTCGAGAAGACAGGCGGGACACCAAGCTTAATTGCCGAGGTCCTGAGGACCACAAGGGGGATCAGAGGCCTCCACGTGACGGATCACCAGGCTACGGCCCAAACATTGCCGGGGTGATCAACACCATATCAGGTGGCCCCACGGGAGGAGACAGCCAGAACTCCCGAAAGCGAACCTACCGCCAAGCCGGCATGGATGTGGCCGAGCCGAGCTCGAGGCTGTCCGAGGTGATAACTTATGGTCCCCGTGACCCTGTCCCCGCCGCCTCCAGCAATCACGAGACCCTAGTGATTGAGGTCCTCACAAATAACTACATAGTCAAAAAGGTCTACGTTGACCCCGGAAGCTCGGTAGACGTCATGTACTACCGAACTTTCGAGAGTTTGAAGTTGACCCGGGAGCAACTCACTCCGGTCAGAACTCCCCTTGTCGGCTTCGGGGGACACGTCGTCCACCCGGAGGGCATGGTGAATTTAACGGTGACTATCGGGCGTCATCCCCGCTGCCGAACTGTGCCTGTCAGCTTTGCGGTGGTCAAAGCGGACTCTCCTTACAACATGCTGATAGGCCGGCCCACGCTCAATGCCTTGAGAGCCGTATATTCCACCTACCACCTGAGTTTCAAGTTTCCAACACCAGAGGGTGTGGCCGAGGTGAGCAGTGACGTGGGCGCCGCTCGAGAATGCTACCTCGCCACCATCCAAGCTGCAGTCGGACCTCAGCCCCCGCCGAGGTCAGAAGAAAAGAGGCCGGCTGTCCTCTCCATAGACTGCATCGACCCTCAGAAGGCAGGAGAGCCCAGCAGGCTTGAGCCCGGGGATGAGGTGGAGCAAGTGGTCTTGGATGAAGCCAAACCTGACCAACTGGTCCAAGTAGGGACCGGACTCCCCTCACCCCTGAAAGAGGAAATGATCTCCCTGATCAAGGACCACCGAGACATCTTCGCGTGGTCCGCAGATGAAGTGGTCGGAGTGCCACCCGAGCTTATGACTCACCAACTTAACGTTAACCCACAGGCCCGACCTGTGCGGCAGAAACGAAGGCACTTCGGCCCCGAACGCAGCAAGGCCATATCGGACGAGGTCGACAAGCTCTTGCCGGCCAAGATGATCCACGAGGTCCAATATCCCACCTGGCTGTCCAACCCAGTTATGGTCAAAAAGGACACCGGTGGATGGAGAATTTGTGTAGACTTCACCGACCTCAACAAGGCCTGCCCCAAAGATTGCTATCCCCTGCCAAGGATAGACGCCCTCGTCGACTCGGCGATGGGGTATGAAGTCCTCTGCTTCCTAGATGCCTTCAAAGGGTATCATCAAATAGGAATGAGTGAAGAGGACCAAGAGAAAACGGCGTTCTACACCGACCAAGGTACTTATTGTTATACTACCATACCATTCGGGCTAAAGAACGCCGGGGCGACCTACCAGAGATTGATCAATCGCCTCTTCAAAAACCAGATCGGCCGCAATGTGGAGGCCTACGTGGACGACATCCTTGTCAAGAGCCAGGCCACTTCGGCCTTCCTATCTGATTTGAGGGAAGTCTTCGGCGTCCTGCGGGATTCGAGGATGAAATTGAATCCAAAGAAGTGCGTCTTCGGCGTCACCTCCGGAAAATTCTTGGGGTATTTGGTTTCCCGCCGGGGAATTGAGGCCAATCCCGACAAGGTCAAGGCCATTCAAGATATGTCCCCACCTCGGAACGTCCGAGAAGTCCAAAGGTTAAATGGACGCCTGGCCGCGCTGAATCGCTTCTTGTCCCAATCCGCCAAGAAAGCTCTGCCCTTCTTTAAGGTGCTAAAAAAGGCTGACCAGTTCGCCTGGACTGAGGAGTGTCAGGGTGCTTTCGACCAGCTGAAGCAGTACTTGCATCACCTCCCAACTCTTGCTTCACCTCGGTCCGAGGAAAAGCTCTACCTCTACCTCTCTGTAGCCGACGAGGCTGTCAGCGCTGTGCTCATCCGAGATGAGGGCACTCAAGTGCCGGTCTACTACGTCAGCCGAGCTCTTCGCGGGCCGGAGACTCGATACACTCAGGTGGAGAAACTGGTGCTGGGACTAGTCCACACCGCTCGGCGGTTGAATCCCTACTTCTTAGCCCATCCTATCTCGGTCAGGACTGACCAGCCCATTCGGCAAATATTGGTGCGGCCCGAAGCTTCTGGTCGCCTCACCAAGTGGGCTGTCGAATTGGGAGAATATGACTTGTCCTACGAGCCACGCACCGCCATAAAAGCTCAAGCTTTGGCTGACTTCCTTGCTGAGCTCACCTTCACGGAAGGTCCGGAGTCCACCTCGGCCTTAGCCGGGGTGTCCACCTCATCCTTGTGGACATTGTATGTCGATGGATCCTCTAATGGAGACGGCTGCGGAGCCGGACTGCTCCTGGAAGGACCTCAGGGGGAGGCGTGCTCGTACGCCATCCGTTTTGACTTCCCGGCCACCAACAATGAAGGCGAGTACGAGGCTCTAATCGCTGGACTCCAGCTAGCCCGCAAGCTCGGCGCCCAGCAAATCCACGTCCGCAGTGACTCCCAGCTCGTGGTACGCCAAGTTCTCGGTGAATACGAGGCTAAGGATGAGACCATGCAAAGGTACCTCTCCAAAGTTCACCAACTCACCGCATACTTCAAGTCATTCGAAATCCAAAGAATCCCCCGGTCCCAGAATAAGCGAGCCGACGCCTTATTCCGGCTGGCCTCCACTTCATTCTCTGACCTCAACAAAACGGTATTAGTGGAAGTTCTGAGTGAACCCGGATATGTAAAAGAGGTGGCCTGCCCCGTGCACTCCGAAGATACCTGGATGACCCCGTTCATCCTCTTCTTGAGTCAGGGAACACTCCCTGAAGACCGAGCCGAGGCGAGAAAAATACAACGCAAGGCGGCTCGGTACGCTTTCCGCGATGGAGAACTATACAAACGCTCTTACCTCGGCCCATGGCTGAGGTGTGTCACTCCCGAGGCCGGACGTCACGTCCTCCACGAGATCCACGAAGGCGTATGTGGGGCTCACGTCGGCCACCGGATGTTAGCCAAGAAAGCTATGCTTCTTGGGTATTTCTGGCCATCACTTCGGCAAGACTCCCAGGACCTCGTTCTCAGCTGTCCTTCCTGCCAAGTCCACGCACCCGAGCATCACCAGCCCTCAAATTTCATGGTTCCCATCACTTCACCTTGGCCATTCGAGCAATGGGGGACAGATATCATAGGTCCTTTCCCTAAAGCCGTCGGGGGTTATACCTTCCTAGTGACCGCTGTGGACTACTTCACTAAGTGGGTCGAGGCCGAGCCACTTCGGACCATCTCGGGGCTAGCCATCCAAAAATTCTTTTGGAAATGCATTATCTGCCGCTTCGGCATACCTCAGGTCATCATCTCGGACAATGGGAGACAGTTTACCGAGAACCCCTTCAAGACCTGGTGCGAGACCCTCGGCATCAAATAACACTTCACTTCGGTAAGCCACCCTCAGGCCAATGGTCAAGCAGAAAACTTCAACCGGACTCTCCTGCATGGCCTCAAGACCCGACTACACCGAGCTGGGTCATCTTGGGTGGAGGAACTCTCCAGTGTCTTGTGGTCATATCGGACCACGCCGAGGTCAGCGACGCAAGAGACCCCATTCTCCCTGACCTACGGCGCCGAGGCTGTCATCCCAGCTGAGATCCTTACTTCCAGCCCTCGGCTGGCAGCCTATGCCGCCGAGGTGAACGACGAAGAGAGGCAGCTGGACCTCGACCTCGTCGAAGAACGAAGGGACCTCGCCTCAGCCCGGATAGCTTCATACAAGAACACACTGGCACACTATTACAATGCCCGTGTCAGACATCGTAGATTCCGTCCTGAAAACTTGGTTCTCAGGAAAAATTCAGTTAGCCGAGCTGAGCCGCAAGGGAAATTATGCCCGAAATGGGAAGGCCCTTACCGAGTTGTGGAATCTGACCCTAAGGGGTATTGTAAACTGAGCTACCGAAATGGCTCATTAGTGCCGAGGTCTTGGCACGCCGAGAACCTTAGATTGTATTATGCTTGAAGTTGTGACTTCATTCAGTTATTTCATCAAAGTTGACTTCATCCAGTTATCTTGTCAAGTTATGACTTCAGCTATTTAGTTATTTTTCAAACAATATGATGCCCAGCATCAATTATTAAAAAATAAGGGGGACAAACAAGGGATGAAGTCAAAGCAAGAAACAAAAAGCGCTGAGATGAGAAGAAAAAGGCTTTCATTTAATAGGAAAGAGTGCTACAAAGAATACAAGGTTGAGGTCCGAATGCTACTAAGCACTCTCCACCTCGGCCACCCCCTAAAGCCTGAGCCTAGACCCCCGTCTCGGCTCCATCCCCGGTCTTGGCTCCCTCCTGGGCAGCCTTCTCTTCGGCCTCTTTTCCGCCGGGGTGTTCATCTCCATGCTCTTTGCCGATGTCCACTCCGACTTCGTCCCCGGCGGCTTCGTCTCCCTCAGCGTCCGCTCCTCCAACTTCTTCTACTTCCACCTCCTCGAACACATCGTCGAGTTCGGACAGCCACTTGTTGAACTCGACCTGGACTTCGGCCAAATTCCTTCATGCCTGAATGCCTTCGGCCATCCGATCACATAACTCCTTGGAGTCCTCATTGTAGCTGTCATGGTTTTTCAAAGACTCCAAGACTTCGGAGGAGAGGTGAGCCGCAGCCTCATTAATGGCCGATGTGAAGCCAAACATGAAGTTAGGCGTAAGCAGTTGGCCGAGGTCCTTGATGAAGGCATCGGACCTTCGAAACGCATCCACTGCCGAGGCTCCAGCACCCTCGAGAGCTTGTGCGTGGGACTTCTTCACTTCGTCCCCCCTCTTCTGCTCCTCCTCGAGGGCTGATCTGAGACTATTCATCGTAGTCTCGTCCTCCTCACCCTTAGCTTCAGCCTCTTGAAGTCGCCTCTGAAGCTCCGACTTCTCGGATTCGGACACCGCCAGTTGTTTCTCCAACTTGGAGATCTGAGTCTGCAGCTTGCCGGTGTCCTGCTCCTCGACCAGAGCACAGTATCTGTGAGCCATCTCGGCCGCAAAAGCTGAGTTGGAAGCCGTGGTCACCATCAGACTTTGAACCAGCTCGGCCGGGCTTAGTTTTTTCATGAACTCCAAATCCCTTGGCAGAGTGGAGTGCATTACTAGCTCTTGAGCGACCCGAGGATATTGGCACCTGTCGTTGACCGAAATCTTCCAGTTCGGACACCAATGATTGCCGGAGTGCGTCTTCTCGTCTCCGGGAAACACTGGGGGGCTATGGAAACGATTCCATAGCGAGGTCCCCGACACCGGATTAACTGGAGGCTTCAGCTGCTTGCCTCGGCCAGAAGGAGGTGTGACTGTTGTAACAACTCCAAGGGGAACTCCCTCTGGTACAGACGAGGTGGACCCAGTAGCCGCAGTGGCCGAGCTGCTCTGGCCAACCTTGGTGGGAGTGCCTTTAGGCGCCGAAGTCTTAGCGGCTGGTCCTTGTGACTTCTTCTTCTTTGGCGGAGGTGCTGAGGTCTCGTCAGTGCTCTTCCTCTTCTGCCTCTTGGCCACTTCGGACGAGCCAGAGACGATGAGGTTGGACAGTTTAGTCACTGCACAAGAAATAAATATTATCATATGCCTTAACCGAAGTGAAAGCAAAGCTACGAAAGAAAAATTACAAGGTATCTCAAGTTCAGTGGAAAAGAAGGGAGGCTTGGTAGTATTGATCACGGCTCGACTTATCCCCCCATCCACGAGCACGGCTTCGGGGTAATCATGGCTGAACAGCCGAAGTCCCGACTTCATCAACTTCTGAAAGGATTCCTCTTCGGCATCCCCTGCCGAGGGGTCGGCCTTCGCCTTAATTGGCCTCCACCAAAAATCCCTCGGGAAGTCCACTCCGGACACGAAAAAGTAGTCGCGCTTCCAGTTCTTGATCGAGTTGGGAGCACCGATCACCAACTTCGGGATGGCATTGTTTCGATTGCCAACATAAAATCATCCTTTATCCGTCCCGTGCGCCTTGAGAGTATAGCATCGGCGGAAGAGGTCGACGGAGGGAGTCACCTCCTGATGTCGGCAAAGCATCTCGAACCCCACGATGATGCGGATCGCGTTCGGGGTGAGCTGGGTGATCCTCACACCGAAGTGACGAAGCAAATCCCGGAGAAATCTCGACGTCGGCATCCTCAGCCCGGCCTCCAGCTGTTGAACGTAGACGGCCACCATGCCGTAAGGGGGCTTCGCGGCTGTGTCATCCAACTCGGGCGGCAGAATTTCGTACCCCGGCCGGAATGGGTACTTGTTCACTACCTTCACGGCCCTATCTCTTCCTACGCGACTCCTAAACTTCGGCATCTGGCCGAAGTCGATGTCGGCTGCGTCCACTGGAGCAACTGGCTCCTGAACACCCTCGTCATGGGGTATCTCGGTCCCGAGCTCGGTATTGTATTCGACCTCGGAACCACCCTCGCTCATCTCGGACGACTCCAACTCTGAGGCTGTCTCTCCGACCCTCACCTCGGTCGACCCCTCTGAACTCGGTGTCGACCCCTCCGAGCTGGACGTCGTCGCTTCTTCTTCAGGATCTGGCTTCACCTCGGCCTGGTAGCTCGGTGACACGGTTTCCTTATGGGTCTTCGCGGTTTTAGCCATGTGTGAAAGACAAGATAAGAAGGAAAAGGGATACTTACTATTGTATACTGAACTGGACGAAGTGGATGACTTCGGCTGTGATCTCGGCTGGCAGGATTGATCTCGGCAACGCTCGCAAATTTTGCAAGTCGCAGACAGAAGAAGAAAATGATGGGGCAGGTGGTGAAAAGGACCCCCTATTTATAGGGGATGGCCAGAATCCGAAGAGGTGGCAAGAATACGAAAAGACGACCACGTTCGGATTCAAAACGCCGTGGCACTCTCTCTCTTCATTAATGACCCGTCCTTTCGACTGACACCCCATCATCGCGAAACGTCCCACTATTTCACGACGCGACGGTTACCAGTGACCACGTCCTATCAACTGACTAGCCCACGTGTCGCGTCCCCGCATCTTCCGGAGCGGTTTCGGGACCTCGACTCTTCATGACTTCAGCACAAGGAAGTCTCGGCACCTCCCTTGCTCGGAGCATCCGAGGCTTGGGGGGCTTATTGAGGATGCTCACCTCGGCCATCCCGAGTGGCCGAGGTGAACTCACCTCGTCCCTCATCAGAGCTCATCCGTGTCCCGGGCATCATCCCTGAGCTCGGCCTCGGCCGTTTCCCTAGCCTACTGTGTAGCCGACCTCGGCACCCCCACCTCAGCTGCACGCTGATGATGTCAAACCATCTGACATCGCTCAGGACCAGTGCTTTATCTGAAAAGCACTGGAGGCACTTAATGGCACCTGCACAATCCTCCCCGTCATCATGCCCAGGCAGCTACAGTGTCAGAGTCAGACCTCCTGACACGGGACAGAGCCGTAATGACCAGAGGGTGGGTCCCACCAGCATAAGCCCTCCGCTCTGTCCTCTACTCTCCCTCTATAAATACCCCAGACACACTCCCAACAAGTAGGCACACTGTTCATTTGCTTATACTCTTTTTATTCTCGTTCTCATACTAACTTGATCGTCGGAGTGATCCCAGGGGAGAAGCCCCGCCACTCACTTCGGACACCGAGGTTCACTTCGGACACAGGAGTTCACCTCACTTCATCTCAGAGAGGACTGATCCAGGTCGGTCTAGGTACCAACCGAAAATCACCTCTTCACCGTCCTTTCCTTCCCATCATCATCACATCTTGGTTTGCGGCATAAATTAAAATATTTTCTTTACCCCATTAAAATGTGATTTTTATGATAGTTACTGTAACCAAATTGGTGTACGAAAGCAACAAAAACTTAATCAAACTATCTTATTTGCAACCAGAATCTTGACCAAAAAAAAAAAAAGGACAACTACCTGATTTTAAAGAATTGAAAATCATAAGAACCATTAGAAACTAATCTACGTACAAACGAAGTGCTATAAGAATTTGTGGTTATCTGTACTAAGCATTTAGATTTGGCATAGATATTTATTGTCATTTTATAAATTTCTAATTTTGTTATCTTTACAAAAACTAATTTTACTTTAGTTATATAACACACCTATAAGCAATTTTTACTTTAAACATCTAACTACATATTCATCAATTTTAACCATTGTAATTACCACAAGGACAATAGTTATCATTTCATTCAAAGAATATCAAGAGATCATTGGAGTAACTACCTCTAGATTTGTTAGTAGTTAAGGGTCTGATCCTTGCTTTTGTACAAAAAAAAAAAGAAGAAATTTTTGTATAAAATTGATTCACACAAACCATTTTACATCTCTAAATTGCACATACAGTGTATGCGTGCGCTAGTGTGCCCTTAGCACTAGCGAAAAAGAACTTCTCCCCTCATAGCTTTTTTGGGGGAAATCCTGGGCACGCTATTAGAAAAGGCCCCAGTCGACCAATATAATCACATTAGTCGACCATACCCGTGTATTTTGACATGCATTGGTAATATTGAAGTTTAGTTCGCATATCAATTCGCTATGCCTCTTAGTCGTGTAAATTTTGATCCTCAATAATTAATTGGCGATTTGATACAACTTGTAGTTTGCGTATTGGCGAGATTGATTGCTGATGTCTAATGTGTATATTTTGTTGAATTATTTTGTCGGTTGAAGATTTTGATTTTTCCCATTTGATATTGGGATTTGGAATATGTTTTAACTCGAGATCAATTTTGGGATGATAGTGAAGTAGATTTGTATTTCCGCGTGCATTATTAATTAATATTTGACATTTGTACTTTGTGGTTGGAGTTAATTATGGAAGTAAAAAAACCATTTTTTTTTCTTTGAGTTTATAGTGGAATGAAGCTATTAAAGGTTGGTATGTTAGTATTGTTGGCACCTCTCATGTGTTTGCTGCAGCTCATTTATTGAGACCTAGCAAATGGCTTGATAATTAAGAAGTAAAACGCAGGTACGTAGTAGACCACGACTAATGCTAATAATTATTCAGTCATTTTCTTGTA